GAGGAGCTTCAGCTCAGGCACAGCTGCAGAAACAAGGGTGGACCCGGCAAAGTTACAGAAGGGTCACTGCCAGGAAAGATAACGTCATATTCCACCGGAAAAAGCTCACAAAACGCTTTTCGTGGAATGTATCGAGAACTCAATGTCTCCTGCTCATGACTTAAAAAGAAAAAAGCACGTAAACGAATCTGAAGCGATTTCAGGGAATACAATTGAAAGTAATGATTTAATCAATACACTGTTTGTTTAATATTGGCAAAGTGCCAAGTAATACAGAAGAGATTTTTTTTTTTTTTCTTTTCTTTTCAGTGTTGTAACAGAAGTCTGTCTGTGGTCGGTCGCTTTGAATCATGCAGAGGGCTCCCAAGATGGCTTTGCTATACCCAGAACCACATCTTCTGATGGAAGGTAAGGTGCTTAAAGCCCTGTCACCAACAAGTCGTGGGCCTTGGACAAGTCTCAGCCCTATTTGAAATCCATTTCTGCCCCAGGGTTACTAGGTACTAGTACCTGGTACTTTTATACAAAAGCCTCATCATAGAAATTAGAGACTCTTCGGATAACTGAAAGGTCTCTAAGACTCCAGCTGGTGGTCTTTTCATTTCAGTTTCCAAAAAAAAAAAACAAAGCTCTAGAACAACTGATGAATGAATGTGGCTAATCCTTTGGAATTTGTTCTTACAGAATGCTGATTGTGATGTAAAATAATACCTAACATTTATTGGGTGATTATTATGGGCACTATTATTAACAGTAAGCCCTTTATGTGTATAATACCATATGATCCTCAGAACAACTTTATGAGGTAAGTATTGTGTGCCCATTTTGTGGAGGGGGAAACTGAGGCACAGAGAGGCAAGTGACTTGCCTGAGCTCACTCAGCTAGGCAGAGAAGTGGGATTCAAACCCAGGCAGCCATCCTCCAGGTGGGGCATTTGTAACTGCGAGGTTCTGCTGCCGCCTGCTGGTGGGAATCTGCACTTGCATCATAACCGAGAAGCCTCTCGGAGCGCTAGGGCCCAGACTGTGATTTTCCTGGCATGGAGCCTGTCCCTCTTGAGTGCGCTAATCTGGAAAGGAAGAACCAAGTCCACGGTAGAAACAAGCGGCAGGCTATCTGGTCCTTCCAGAAGCTGATTCCAGCTTCTGTAGATTGCAAAGGCTGGGCTGCTAGCGCGCAGGCATCTCTCAGTCACCATGAAGCCTCAGAAGGGGGGGACCCAGGGCCTCCACACACCGGGGAAAGCTTGGTGTCAATGGGAGTTCAGGATGCCCTACTGCGGAACCTCCCAAGGAGTCTGAACTCAGACCAGAGAGGTGGGTTTACAGAAGCGCACAGGGCAGCTGAGGAAAGGAAAATAAGAGACTGGAGGTGTCATGGAGAGGTGTGAGTTCTGGCCTCAGCGGGGCACATGCTGCTGTGGGGCTGGAGCCAAGACTTTTCTTCCTCTGGGCCTCAGTTCCCCCGCCCAAGAGATGATGGACCCTGGACTCGTTTAAAGCAACAGATGCAATTATGGAAACACGGTTTTCAAACACTCTAGCAGCATAATATTGGTATAGTAAATGATATTCAAACATTCATTCATGCATGTATGAATTCTTGGTGGTTACTGAGACTGTAGAGCTACACACCTTACATTCAAATTCTGATTCTGCATTCAAAAGCTCCTGTGATCTCAACTTTAAAATGAGGATTATTAATAGTACTTACCTTATAGGCTTATTTTAGAATTGAATGAGTTTAGAAATGCAAAGTACTTAGAACAGTGCTTGACATAGTGTGTGATATGTGCTAACTATCCTTCCTTCCTCCATTCACGTATCCATTTACCCATTTATCTACCAATCTAGTTATCAGGACATCCATTCAACATTTATAAAATATCTCTTAAGTCTCTGGCCTTTTAAAACCACTAAAATTACATGTAAGATTATTTAGTCACCTGGGAACGGTGGCTCACTCCTGTAATCCTTGTGCTTTGGGAGGTTGAGGCGGAGGATTGCTTGAGGCTAGGAGTTCAACACTAGCCTGGGCAACATAGCAAGACCCCATTTCTACAAAAAGTAGACAAATTAGCTGGGCATGGTGATGTGTGCCTGTAGTCTCAGCTACTCAGGAGGCTGAGGCAGGTGAATCACTTGGGCCCAGGGGTCTGAGGTTGCAGTGAGCTATGATGATGTGCTGCACTCTAGCCTGGGCAACAGAATGAGACTCTGTCTAAAAAAACAAAAAATTATTCAGTAACTCACACTTTTCACTAATTTTGGACATTCCCATTGCTCACAGATTATATGTAGATTTGAATAGTTCTGCATCTGTGAAATGTTACTCTAATTTCTTAATTATCCAACCACTACAATATAGCAAGAGACCAGTCCTTGGCCTCTCAAACAATTGGGTGGCTTCTACATGATCTTCCTACAGGGGAGGTTCAATGATGTGCATTTAATTCCAGGGTCTGCTGGGGCCTGTGGTATATCCATCTGTTCCCACAGATCAGAGAACAGAAAAGACACCACTTGATTCTCCCAGTAGATTTTTTTTGGTGGGGACAATTTTTACATATTGGCTTCTATATTGAGTACTGTTTGTTTCATGAACAATGACAGTAAGGAATGCTATTCGCTTTGAGTCTTGCCTAGACGGGACAAGTACCAGTACTTCCCCTGCTCTCCCAAATCACTGTGACGCTGGTGGTGCCTATTACTCCATGATGACCATACCAGGTGATGATTACTTCTCGTGGCAGAACATGCCTGAGACTCCAACTCTGGGCAGTCTTGTCTTCAGGGATCACAAAGGCATTCACATATCCTTTCCAAATCCATTCACAACACTGCTACAACATTTTCAGATCCAGTGACTCTGTCCAAGTCCAAAGTATGTAACTCCAGAGTGCAGAATAAAGGCTGCCAATACGATTGTCCTAACAGTGATACAGTCACATAAACAGGATGTCCATGGGCATGCTGGGGGCAGTGTGTCCTGTCTTTGAGTAGCCAAGGGCTTTGCAAAGCAGATGAAGAGGTAATTTACATAGACTGTGAGGAAAGTGTCTCCAGGACCTTGTCTTTGAATGTTTGATTGTCCTAAGTCTATGACATCTAAGAGCACCGATTTTGAGGTTAGACACCCCTGGGTTTGAATTTTAGATCTTCTGGGACCTTGGGAAAGTTCCTTAGCCTATGGGCCTGTTTCCTTGGCTGTAAAATGGGGATAATAAAACCTACTCTGGACGTTACGGGAATTGAGTGATGGAGAGAAAGCAATGTAAATTTCCTGCCTGGTGCAGCCCGTGAATATGGCCACCATGACGTCTGTCGTGGCACCCCAAAGACACATTCGGAAGTATGGGACTTCTGGGTCTAAAGAGGACACCAGAGATGAAGCATCTGAGAGACAGTACCCAAACTAACTATACAAGGCCACCCTGGAATATTCAGTGTAAAATGGAAACAGGTAAAGTGCCTGCTCTGTCTGTACGGAAGGGGAATCCTCTGAACATCGCTGAACTGTGCTCGGCCCCATCAGTCAGAGGTGGGGGCCCCCTTCACAAAAGACAGAGTCGGGCCGTTAAGGACTGGAGGCATCATCCATCCCAAAGTGTCACACTCGGGCAGCCCAGAATTTAGCAATCCCTGAGACTCTGGGTGAGTCCAAGAGGACTGCAAATCATGGCAGTGATGGGCAAAGCAGGGCTCTGCAGCCAAAATGCTGAGCTCATCATGTAATTTGCAACCCCAGAGGGTAACAGTGCACCAATAAAACACATGGCACACAAAACGGTCCTTTGAAAATATGTCACTAGTAACATACATGCCATCTTACCAAAGGCCAAACTTTTGTTGAAAAACGCTCCACTTTCCTTTTTAAAATTGCTCTAGTTTTCCCTGATTACAAACGTGAAATCCGTGCTCATTATGGACTGTACAGAAATATGTAAGTATTTAGCACACTGACGGCCACACTAGAAAAAAATTTTTTTCTAATTTGTTATGTTTTATTGTTTTCTGTGTGTGAGTTATATGCAATGCAATCCACATTTTTAGAATTCAATTGTCAATATTAATTGTAACAGTAAGAACATCAACAAGTAAGATGTTCACAAGCCAACTGCAGGGTTTTGCCTAATGCGGCCCCGGGGTCAAAACTAGCCTGAGTTAAATACAACTCACGTGTCAGTCTATGTCTTCAACTAGAAAATAACAACAATAATAATTCTGCTTTCTACAAAAACCCCTCAATATTTTTGTGTATTTCCTTAGTCTTTCTACATATTTAGACATGCAAACAGATGTGAAAGTATACTCACATTTTTATATACTTGAGATGATACATACAGTATTGTATCCTGACTTTTTCCCACTTACTTTATAAGTGTTTCTCCATATCATCAAACCTTTTATGTAGGTTCTTCATCTTATGCATACAATATAATTTACTTACACATTCCTTTATATTTAAACATTGAGGTTGCTTTTCTTTCCTGCCATTGTAAAAACTGCTGTGATAAACATCTTTCTGCATACATATTTGCTCCAATTTCCAATTATTTCCTCAGCCAGATTCCTACAGGGTAATTTATCAAGCAGAGATCACAAAGATTTTTAAAGTCTCTGATATATTTCAGTCAATTGACAAGCCCACTTTTTATTCTATATAAACTTCCCTTTTTAACAGTTACTTCAGAACAGAACAAGACGAGCGGGACTTAGGGTCCGTACAGAGAGAAAGAGGATAAGGGACAAACCCTCAACAGTATAGGGCGAAGCAGAGAAGGCTTGCAGCTCCCAGAAACATGAATCGGAAAGGAACACGGAACGGGCTTTGGCAGAGGGAGGAAGCCCATATTAGTGACAGCAGCCGGAACTGGTTTCACAGGGAAGGTGGATTCTGAACTGGGTCTCCCAAGACAGATAGGTTTTCAACAGGGAGCCGAGAAGGGAAGGGCAAGGAGGGGCAGGCCAGGCAAAGAGCACAGATGGAGATTCCGGAAGCACCTGCAGAAAGGTGAAGTGTGGGAGGCTGAAAGCCTCAGTGTGGCGTCCCTCCTGGGTTCCTCTGGCTGCCCCTGCCTCTCACTGGAGGCTTCAGCCTCCCCCAGTGGCACAGAGTGTCCTGCACTTGCGCTGCCCCTCTGCCTGGAAACACTCTCCATCTCAATAAGCTACTCATCCTACAAGTCTTGGCACAGGAGTCTCCTCCTCCAGGCGGCCTTATCCATGCCTGGACTCACCTCCCTTGCTTGGGGCAGGGGCAGGGGCGGGGCTGGCTGTCCCTGTTCTCAGCCTGAGCCCAGAGTCTGGCCTGGGGAGGTGCTCAGGGAGTGTCTGTGGAATCCTTTCAGGAGTGCCTGCTGGGCCAGAGATGAGGCAGAAAGGAGGCAGAGGCTGGGAATGGCCCCTGGGCACAGTGCTCATAGGGGTAGGAGGGAAGGAGTTTGAATGTGACCATGGACAGAGAGACCAGAGGAATACAATAAACACTGTATAAGATGATTATGTAGGAGACACCATAACTCCTTAGATTCCTCCTCTAGTGCCCGGTTCCCAGAGCTGGCTGTAGAGCAAATCCCCAGAGTGCTCATTAAACAGCCAGATTCCTTGGTCCCACTTCCACTCAGGAGGTCTGGGAAGGGGCCCGGGAATTAGTGTTTTTAATAAACCCTGCAGGTTTCTGCTATGAGTGATCCTTCAGCCAGCATTTGGGGACTGCTGCATGGCACCTTTAGGACCCGGTGCCATTTCCAAATCCTTTTAGGGGAATGTTTCCTAATCATGTTCTGGGGAGCACTAGTTCTGAGGACTACTAACGGGGATTAAAAAAAGAGTTCCATGTAATGCATGTGGACATAGGAAAGGCACTGGAAAGTCCTGCAGTGAAGAAATTATTTTAGGTGTGTGTAACCTTGGCATTCCTGAGTCTTTCTGATCTGGAAGCAGAGTTCCGCCAGCCAGAGTCGTAAGGTCCTGCAGCAGGAATCTGCATATGGGGGCCTGCTGGAAGCTGCCCTCTGAGCAGCACACGATGCTCTTCCCATCTGCACGAGAGGCCATGCATTCGACCCCGCCACCAAGGCAGCTCATGCTCTGAAATCACAGCCAACGAGGTTCCATCGAACACCAGGATGTGACAACAGGGTTGTAAACCCAGGCTTACAAATTAAAAAGATAATCCAAATTGACTTTAAATCCCCTCAAAAATAGGTTTCCTTTTCTTAGTAATACTTTTATAAAGTGTTAGTCTCTTTGTTTAAGTTTTATAATGGCATATTTTGTATTCAAAAGGACTAAGGCTTTGAAAAGAACCCCAGCAGCGCTCATCAGTTTATCCCCGTATGGCCCTGACCGTAATCCATGTCATAAGCACAAATCACAAGGGTAGATAAACTCCTTTGTGGCAGAAAATCCCAAAATTAACACAACAATTTTTGGTGGGTAGTGGTAGATCATCTAATCTGACCTATCAACCTTGGAAATGTCACCCCCTCCAGACAGGCCTCCAGTGCCTTATCTGTGCCCAGAGGGTTGGACTCAAGTCGTCTGCCCACCCACCCCCCAGGTCTCACAGAGTCCCTGACAGCTCACCCTCCTACACTCCTACACACAAGAGGGTCAGCACCCACCTGCATGGCCCGGGGAGAGTGCCTGGCCGTGGTCTGGCCCTTCCATCCTGGGCGGAGATCTGAGCAGTTCGCTGTGATGATGCCTGCATCGTAAACATACGGGCTCAGGGCGTCTGTCCTCCAGCCTTCAAAGCCACCCAGGGGTTCTCAGATTTTAAGTTTCAACCTGCTTTTATCCATTTTGGTTTCCTCATTCCACGGATGTTTGTTGAGGGCCACAATGTGGCAGGCACCATGCCAGGTGCTGGGATAGGAAGCCCCGTGGGGCCTCACGGAGAGCCCTATCCAACAGAGTTCATGACCTTCTGTGCCACCTGGGTGCAAGCAGGGAAATTAGCACATTTCTACTCTTTTAACATTTTCTTAAATATTTTTCACTTGAAAAAAGGAATCAGTGTTGAGGAGGGGTTAAAGACGTGGGCTATTAGACCTGAGTTCAAAACACACATTTTCATTTGTGAAGCAGGGGTAACACCACCTCCTTTTAGACTTTGTGAAGGTAAACTAGCCACGCACATTAAGCACCGGCACAGTACATGGCCCACAGCTATCTCCTAAAAAAGCTGCTCACTCTTACTAGAAGATGGTACTTTAGAAGGCAGTAGGGTGACAGCCAAGCAGGACATGGAGCCAGATGGCCCGGGTTGAATTCCAGCTCCTCCGTCAGCTGGCCGCGTGACCCTGGGTGAGTGATTTCAGGTCTCTATGTGGATGGTTCTGATCTGCCAATGAGGAATAGTGATAGTGTCCGCCTCTGATGGGTGGTCACGAAGACTAAAGGAGCTAATACATGCAAAGTGCACTGAGCATTTCGAATATGATTAGACTTACACCAATCTGGCATGGCCAGCTTTTAAAGCGATCTATACTCTGCAAATCAAGAGACACCTGTACTTTCTTTTCTTATCAAACACAAGCACTCAGTATATACCCCTTCTTGTATCATTTTGCTCTTCCGTCTTCCACTTACTGTATTAAGCATTTGGAAGGGCACACTGCCTAGTGGAAAAAGCATATACTTTTCAGAGTGGGTGGCTTCAAGTTCAGGCTGTCCTGCTTGTAATGATCCTGGACAAGTCACTAATGCTGTCAGAGCCTCACTGACCTCATCTGTTAATTGGTCATAAAAGTTAATGCTGGCCTTATCTATACCCAGTATCTCAAGACCATGAAAGAGAAAGTGCTTCTCCCCTGCCAGAAGCTGGGGCAGTGGCCTGCTGCTGATTATTATTGGGACGGGGCACAGTGTAAAGGTTAAACTCTAGAATTAGACTGTCTGGTTCTAACTAGTAGCTTTGGAATCTTGATGTCTCCCGTTTCCTTATCTGTAGAATGGGGGATACTGACAGTACCTACCCCAGAGAGCTGTCGTGAGGATTAACTGAAAAGCTTAGTACCGGCCCATGCAGAGAAAGAGCCCAATAAATGTTAGCTGTTATCATCATCATTACTCTCAGTCTATCTGCTCATCAGGTTGTGAACAGGGACCCCATTTAATTCATCTTTCCATTCTTAGCACCTAGGAAAATGCTCCCCTAAAGTCTGCCAAATTCAGGAACAATGGAAGGAGTGGTTGCATGAATACATTTAACCTTGGGTCAAAGCCCTTCCTGATTATCTCAGAGACTCAGTGGAGTCTTCTTAGAGCCTGGCTGGGTTCTGTTTTCATGACTGTTTGACCACTATGGTTTTGGTAAGCTTCGTCTCTGAAGATTTACTCCTTGGTGGGTCTGGGCTCTCGCGTCAGACTGAAGTACGTTTGAGTCTCATCTCCACTTTCTAACTGTAGAACTTTGAATATTTTACAAGCCTTTTAAAATCTCAATTTCTTTGTTTGTAGAATGGGGCGACACCCACCTACCTCTCCGAGTTGCTGAGCTGACTAGATATAATATATGTGGAAGAGCTTGGCACATAGAGCAGGTGATCAATAAAAGGTGGCGATTGGCATTTTTATTTTACTTACCTTGAAGCTTCTAGTGCAAGTTGACCCTACTTCGAATATAGCTGAGTCTCTGAACTTTGTTGTGCAAATGATTACTTTGAGTACAAAATGCATTTTCCCTGTGGGGCAGTGGCCACTGCTTCTTCTTGCTGCCTGCCTGGGTGGTACCCTGGGCCTGTGGATTGACCCTGGGGACATGTTCTCTGTGTCCTCAGCAGCTTCTGTGGTCTCCAGGGAAGCCCCATTGGAGGGTAACTGTGGCAGGAGCAAAGTCAGCCACATCATGTTCCTAAGCTGCAGATCCCTGTTTCTGAAGAGGGCCGTAAGCACGGCTTCACAGCTGAACAGCCTGGAGTGCCACCTCTTGCTTATTTGTTGTGTGACTGTGATTAACTTAGCCTCTCTGAGCCTCGGTTTCCTCAACTGTACAATGAAGGCAACGTAAGATCATGTCTGCAAAGGGGTACATGAAACATTGATGACGATGATGATGATGATGGAGCATATAAAATGGCATTGCGACTAAGGCCTTTTCCCCCACAACATGGGAAAAGGTAAGTGAAATAAGTTATCAAATGCCCTAAAGGCATGAAAGTTGGCCTAGCTTTTAAAAATTAGAATTAAAAAAAACCCAATCTGACAAAGAGAAAAACAATCCTCAGTAAGCCATGCAGTGAACTTACATCTTATAGGTATCTGTTACTGTGTCACCATGATGTAGCTTCACTCTGGACTCTATCAAGAGAACATTAAACGGAGCAAAGGATGGGTGGATTTCTTCCACACTTCTAAAACAACTTGACCACAATTGTTTTTTCTTTCTTTCTTGTTTTCTAGTGGCAGGAGCAACCAGGTACACCTGACTATAATTTTAGCCAGATTTTCGATCTCAAAAAAACCCACTTTTGGTAATTTTAAGAAAATCTTTGCAATAAAACACATTTTCTAATGCAATTGATACAGTCTAAAGATGAAGCTCATTCCAAATATTAATAATAAAAAATCTTAATCAGTTATTTGATAAAACTGTGTTGACTATTTATATCAATAATTCTTAACCTTGGCTACACAAAATAAATAATCTGGAGACCTTTATAAAAATAGTCATGTTTAGAGCTCACCCAGACAAATCAAAATCTCTGGGGGTAGGGGTGTGGAGTGATGAGCATTTAAGGAAAGCTTCCCGAGTGATTCCTGCAGTCGGAGTGAGACTACTGGTTTGGCTGGGTCTCGGTACTGATCGTAAGCCTAATTCACGCACTTGGCAACCGAGGCCGTGGGGCCCAACCCTAGCCATGCATCGCAATCACCAGGGAGCTGTTAAAAATCCTGATGCCCCAACCCAGACCAATGACATCTCAGTCTCTGGGGTGAGACCCAAACATGGGTACTTTTAAAAGCTCCCTAGGTGATTCCAGTATGCAGCAGCCAGTGTTGAGAAGCACTGGACTAAAGGATATATAATAGTAAAAAAATAAAAAATAAAAAAAAGAATGTGTTCAGCAAAATCTTAGTTCACACCTACATTTTGCAGCAGAAGCACTAGTAACCTTAAATAGTGTTATGGTCAACTCCTATTTATCCATGAATGGCTTCTCTGTTTTAAGGACAAATTATGGGCCAGCCTTAGGTAGGGATGCAGGGAAGGTGGCTAACGCTATTAAGCACCTACCATAAACCAGGTGTTTTGCCTGCATTATCTCACTTAATTCACACAGTATCCTGGTGAAGTAGGTGATGTCACTTCCATTTTATTAGGTGAGTAATTGAGGCTCAGGGAGGCTAAATCGCTTCTATCAAGTCACTCAGTAAATTGGCTCCAAAACCTGTGTCCTAGGCCACACTGCTTCTCGCAGGGTGGAGAAAAAGCATCAGTTTCTGCCACATATTAAAGCTAAATTATTTCTTGCATTAGCTGTTTCTTTTGCTTCTATTCCTCTCTCTTAGCCTAGATAAATGAGAGATATGACTCATTCTAAAAGAATGATCTAGGTGTCAATTTATTCTTTATATAATTTTCAATAGATGAGTCTTTGCTTACACCAATGGGTAGTTTAAAAAATAAGAGGGAGCATGTGTCCTAATAGTTATTTCACATTTGCACTCCTTTTAGTTTGGCAACAGGTTCTGAAGCAGCACTGTAACTGCTGGATGCTTCTAGCTGGCTCTTTCCCCAGTGAAAGGTAAATAATGAGAACCAGAATATGGAAACTAAATGTTTACCTTTATTAAAAAGGTAAACATTTTTCTTCCAAGTGACTTTGAAGATAAGTAAAAAATGAAAACCAAAACACATTTTGAACAGGACTGCCAATAATTACGCCTGTCCTTTATGCCTCCTACGCCCTGCCAATGCTAGTGCTTCCAGACAGAGAAAAGACACGGACTGCAATTTGCAATCCCTTCCAGCAGAGCAGGTTGTCATTAGTGATGAGGAGGCCCACCTCACAATCCCCTCTGACAGCCAGGACAGGTGGGACTTCCTGCTTCTCTGGCAAACATCCCTAACGTGCAGGGATGGCTTGGGGCTTTTAAACAGCTATATTACTTATGCTAAACACCAATAGCAATTGCAGAAGAAGAAATAATCCTGAGTAACTGTTTCTAGATTTATAGTTCTCTTTTTCTGTTTTACATAAAAGCCTGGATTTATAAAACCCAGGATTTGTACAATTAGAGAAGATGGCTTATTATCTAGATGTAGTTTTCAACCAAGACAATGATAAAAATACTAAAAGATACCACTTACTAAACATTATTACATAGTTATGGGTCAGGAAAGTTATTTATATTTTAAAAATCCTCATTAGGTTTAATTGTCCTCATTTTGCAAGTGAGAAATGTGTGTTCAGAGAAGTTAAATCACTTGCCCCAAGTCACACAGCTACCAGGCGGTGGCCCTGGACCCCGATGCTACAGCCTTCTGAAACAAGATTGAGTGTTTTGACAAAGTGCATCCTGAAGGACAGTTCTTTGTAATATATATTTTTTTGTTTTTTGCTCAGGGACCTTTCTGAGAATGTGAATTTGTTGGTCTCTCTCCCCTGAAATAGAAATGCTTCTCAGATCTTGGCTAAGAAGGCCTGGCTGAATCCCTGCTCAACAATCTGCTCTACCTTTCACCCTGTGGGCTCCGCAGAAGTCTCCCATGGCCCCTGGACATCACGCGGGAGCGTGACCCCCATTACCTCAGCACCTTCACCGTCTCCATCCACTGCGCCTGCTCGCTCTCCCAGGGGTCCACCCGGATCCAGTCGGAAGTCTGCAGGGCCAGCCGGGCCATGGCCACTCGGTGATGGGAAGGTGCGAGGTCTTTCTTCCCGTAGTTGTCATTGACAGGAGAGATGATGCCCTGGACCACCTGGTACCTTCCTAGGCAAGGGAGAGCAGTGGTGTTGCACATATGGATGGATGGATGGTGCCAGGCAGGTGCTAAAAATCTCCATGCCTCTTGATCAGTAGGAGCAGATGCTGGTGTTCTTTCTGGGGCGGGGTGGGGTGGGGGAGTGAGGGGTGGCAGAGGTGAGGGGTGGCGGAGAGGGTGGGTTTCCCTTAGGCAAGGTTAATGCTACTACTTCGGTGACCACGTGCCTCCCCTCCAGAGTCTTCTACGCCCAGGAGTGGCACTTCCCCTGAGAGGAAGGCTGTGAGGGTGGAGCTCGGGCAAGGGGTCCCTATGGCAGAGTGGACAGGTAGGGTCAGAATGTGCTTGAGGAACATCATGACTTCCCCTGTGTGGGACTTAACAGGAGCCCTAGTTATATGTAGTTTTTTAGTCTAAACAGGACATTTTGAGGATGAAAGATGAAAGGATGGGATTTAGCATGAGCCAGGGTTGGTGGATGATGGGCTGAAGATGGACTGCACAGGTCCCCGTTGACTCTGGAAGAACGTGCTGCCAGTGGAATGAGATCTACTTTGGAACAGATGAGCGCTCTGGCGATTAGCAATCAAGCCACCTTATAGAACTTCCATGAGATTTATCTGATCAGAGATAAACTTCACATGTGTTAGGCCCCTCAAATTGGAAGATTTATTATCATAACTAGCCTACTCTACCATGACAAGTATGTTACTTTAAGAGACATTCTCTAGTCTAAGAGCTTCTGTCAGAAATGAATATTGAATTTTATCAAATGTTTTTTCTGCAACTCTTAAAATGATTGTGTGATTTTTCTCCTTTAGTCAGTTAATATAGTGGATTGCACTGATTAATTTTCTAATCTTAAACTAACAATTGCATTCCTGAGACAAAACTGATTTGGTTGAGATACACTATCTTTATAACATATTGGTGGGTTTGCTTTGCTAATTTTTTTTTAGGAAGTAAGACAGATCTATAATTTTCCTTTCTCTTACTATCCTAATTAGGTTTTGGTATCAAAGACATGCTAGCCTTAAAAAAGTGCTGAAGAATTCCCTCTTTTTCTATGCTTATGCACAGGGCTAAATTAAGTGTCGATAGAACTCACCAGTGAAGTCTTATGAGGTTAGAGTTTAAGTTGTGTGAAAAGTTTTGGTTACTGATTTAATTTCTTTAATGGTTATAACTCAGATTTTCATTACTTCATTATAATTTTGGCAACTTACATTTTCTAGGACTTTGTCCATCATATCTAAAATTTGAAGTTTATTGTCATAAGGTTCTTTATAATATTCACTTATCTGTTTAATGTCTGCACCATCTGCAGTGATGTCCTTTTTCATCCCTAATGTTGATTGTGTCTCCTTTCTTTTTCCTTGTGCAATATTGCTACGGGTTTGTCATTTTATTAGTCTTCTCAAGGCACTAACTTTTGGCATATTGATTTTCTCTACTGAAGGTTTGCTTCATGTTTTACCAATTTATGTTCTTCTTTTTATTAATTCTATACTTCTACTGTCCCGGTGTTATTTTGCTGTTCTTTTTCTAATTTCTTGTGATGTATGCCCAGCTAATTAATTTGCAGTTTGTCTTATTTCCTAATATACACAGTTCAGGCTAAAATATTTCCCTCTAAGCAATTCCACAAGTTTTGATATGCAGTGTTTTCATGACTATTCAGTTCAAAATATTTTCCTATTTCCATTATGATGTCAGTTTTGATTCATGAGTTATTGAGAAGTATTTTTCTTAATTACCGAACATATCATGATTTTTGGTTATCTTTTTGTTATTGATTTCCAGCTTAGTTGCACTGTAGTCAGAGAACATATTCTATGTTTGTTCAGTCTCTTGAAATGTGTTGATGCTTGCTTTACGTCCCAGTGTATGGTGAGTTTTGGTAAACATTCCATGTGTGCTTTAAAAGAATGTGTATTCTGTGGTTGTTGGATATAATGTTCTGTCCATTCCGTCAAGATTACTAATTGTTTTGTTTAAATTTATGTTCCTACTGATTTTTTTCCTCTTTTTAATTTTTTTTTATTTCTAAATATTACAGGGGTACAAATGTTTTGGTTACAAGGATTGGCTTTTGTAATGCTTGAGTCAGGGTTATAAGTGTGCCCATCACCAAGATAGTGTTCACTGTATCTGTTTTCACCTATCCCCTCCTCCCCACTCCCCCTGGTTGATTTCCATTGAGTTATACCTCCCCCTGTGCATTGGTTAGTTCCAATTTAATAGTGAGCACATATGGTGTTTGTTTTTCCATTCTTTAGATACTTTACTTAGGATAATGGTCTCCAGTTCCACCCATATTGTTGCAAAAGGCATTTAGTCATCCTTCTTCATGGCTGAGTAGTATTCCATGGTGTGTGTATATATATATATATAGCACATTTTGTTAATCCACTCATGAATTGAGGGACATTTGGGTTGATTCCACATCTTTGCAATTGTGAATTGTGCTGCAATAAACATTTGAGTGCAGGTGTCTTTTTGATAAAATGACTTCTTTTTCTTTGGGTAAATACCCATCTACCCAGTAGTGGGACTGCAAATTAGTACAACCTCTATGGAAACAGTATGGAAATTCCTCAAAGAACTACAAGTAGACCTACCATTCAATCTTATCTATTTTTTTGTCTGTCTATTTATTAGTTATGGAGAGAGGCATGTTAAAATTTCCCACTATGATTATGGATTTTTCCTTTTAGTTCTTTCAACTTTTGTTTCATATATTTTAAGAATATGCTATTAAGTGCCTACGTATTTATAATTCTTATGTATCCCTCCTTCTGTGAATTGAGCCTCTTTATCTCTAGTCATTTTTTTTGACTTAAAGTCTACATGTCTAATACAGCTTCACCAGCTTTATTTTGGTTAGTGTATGCACGGCATATGCTTTTATCTTTTATCCATCTTTTTATCTTCAACCTTTCTACACTTTTGTTTTTGGCAAGACTAACATAAATAGCCTATAACTGGGTTAAAAATTGTTTTTTGGGGGGTCAAGCTTGACAATTATCAACTTTTAACAGGAACATTAGGTTCACTTACATTTAACGTAAATTCTGATATATTTAAAGCTAGCATCTTATTTTGCCTTTTCTTTTTGTCACATTCTGTTTCCTTTATTCCATTTTTCTGACTCTCTTTGGATTTTATTATTTCATTTTATTCTCTCTCAGACTAGAAGTTACATAGACAGTTTTGTTTCCAAAGTAAATCAAGATCTTTACCCTCTTCCTCAATAACGCAAGGACTCTAGAACTCTGTAATTTCTTTTACTACCCTCCTGGCTTACATGTTATTGTTGCTATTTTAAGTCTATTTTCCCCTAACCCTATCAGACCTTATTATTCTGTTTCATATAACCAATGCTCATTTAAAATTTCCCATGTATCTGTTGTTTTCTTTTGCGCCTCATTTCATTTCTTCTTGCATATCAGAACTTCTATCTGGGAATCACTCTCCTGACAAAATGCGGCCTATAGAATTTCCTTAAGTTAGTGACTTCATTCTTGAAAGACATTTTCAACATATTATCTTCAGTCTTCAAAGACATTTTACTGGGTACAAAATAATTGGTTGCAATCACTTTTTTCAATACTCTGCAGTTATTGTTTCATTGTTGGTGCTGAGAAGTCATCCATAAGTCTAACTATCATTCCTGTGAACACAATCTATTTTTCTGGGTGGTTTAAAAATTTCCTTTGTTTACATATGAATTTCTTTTTATTTAACCTGCTTTGAGATCACTGGGTCTCTTAAATCTGTGCCTTTCATTAGATTTGAAAATTCTTAGTTATTATCTCTTCAGAAATTGCCTCTGCCCTGTTTCCTTCCCTTTCCTTTTCACTCTCTCATTGTAAATATGTAGCTTCCATGTCTTTTACTCTCTCTTCTAAAATTAAATCTCCTTTTCTATGTTCCATTCTGGATAATTTCATTTGATCTATATTCCAATTCACTAAGTCTACATTTTTCTCTATCTAATTTGATAGAACTATCTCATCTGATAAAGCAAAATGTAGTGTTCAAAATCATTCATTGAACTTTTGAGTCTTCCAACCTACCAATATGGTATATCTGTCCATTTATTTAGATCTTCAGTTTCTTTCATCAGCATCTTGTAATTTTCAGGACACAAATCTTATGTTTTGGTAGATTTATACCTGTATTTCATTTTCTTTAGATCATTGGTCAATGAATTTGTGCTTTTAATTTTGGTTTTTACATGTTTGCTATTAGTATATAGAAATGTGGTTGGTTTTTGTGTATTGATCTTTATCTTGCAACTGAACTCACTTATTCTAGGAGATTTTTTTTTTTTTGTAGATTCCTTGGGATTTTCTACATAGACAAGCATGTCATATGCAAATAGGAATTGTCTGATTTCTTCCTTTCCAATTTGTATGTCTTTTATTCTTGATTTGAGACTTTTTCTTTTTCTCTAAATATCGAGTGTTACAAATTCCCTCTTTGTACTGCTTTAGTTGCATCCAACATATTTTGATGTGCTGGGTTTTCACTTCCATTCACTTATATATATTTTAAAAAATTTTCTTTGAACTTTCTCTTTGGCCTATGGAATATTCAGAAGCGTGTTGTTTAATTTCCAAATGGTTTAATATTTTTCTGTTATCTTTCTTTTATTGATTTCAATTTGATTCCATTATGGTCAGAGACCATACTTTGTATGATTCCAATTCAAGCTTAAAGCTTGTTGAGGTTTTTTTATGGTTCAGAATTCACTATCTTAGTGAATGTTCCATGGATGCTAGAAAAAAGGTATATTCTGCTGTTGTTGGGTAGAGTGCAAATTTCCATCTTTGCACTGCTTTAGTTGCATCCAACATATTTTGATGTGTTGTATTTTCACTTCCATTCACTTATATATATTTTTAAAAATTTTCTTTGAACTTGCTCTTTGGCTTATGGATTATTCACATAGATTATGCACATGGATTATGCACATCAATTAGAGCCTGCTGTCGACTGTGTT